TATGTGTGTAATTCTTGTAGACTCTCATTGAGAGTTTTGATTGGTTGGATGTGTCATTGACTGCTTTAACTAAAGGGGAACAAGTAACCCAGGATTTTTTCATATGTGTGCAAGCTTGTCTGTCATGATTGAATGTATATAAATGTTTAATATAAAACTTTCTATGCTTAAGTGATGATGCAAGCAAATTGTTGAGACTATAAAAAGGTGACATGATATAATTGTACTATTTTTAACGTTACTTGAATTCGATTTTTAACCATGTTTATGTCATGATTGTTGTGGTGGAGACTTTATGGTTATTTATTTCTTTTCAGCATGCTTGTATGTACTAGAGTTGCTAGATATGCATGACATGGATTGGTGGTTGAAATTGGGAGTTTATGATAATGATTTGGTGATAAAACACAATAACCACATCGTTTTGTCTCCATTGTGCACAGCGGTTTGCCTTTTTAGGCCCTATCCCTTAATACATACCTAGCTAAGCTTTTAGAAGGAGAACACGGTATAGTGACACCAGGTTTTGTTTTTCAAGAAGGGGAGCCATAGTCTAGGTTTAGGCTCTGTATCTTTGGCTAGGTCTATCCTGAGTACTGAAGTAGATTTGGTTGGTCTAGTATGTGAGCCAGACTATGGATAAGCCTATGGTTTTAGTCAGGAAAATAAGATTGAATAGAGCAATAAGGAAGGAAGCATTCACTACATACAAATATGCTACACATTTGGTCATTATGAATTTTAGTGATATTGTCTACTACTAACTATTTAAGTTTTTTTTTCAATGATTATATATATGTTAGATAATGATTTCTTTTGTAGGATAGTTTGAATACGAATGGTTAAACTCTAGGTTACTAAGACATTAGTGCTCATCCCACTCTTTAACATTTTCAAGTGAAGGATTAGATAGGAGCCAAGGAAGGCACTAAAGAGTGAGCCTTGATGGCTCTAATATGCTCCTTAAGCACATTATATTATATTAGATTTAATTGCTATGACATTAGAAATTGATTTCATTACATAAAATATTTCGATTTTAGTATATTTTGTTTGAGGCTACTCTTTGTGTTAATGCTTGTAGTTATCAAGTAATCATTGATTGGGCTCTGTGTAATTTGGGATGAAGTCTTAGAGCATTGGTATGGCTTGATCGATTGAAGGCTAAGTCTATATGCCATTTGGTTGAGGTGTTACTATCGATCAAGACCTTTGGTCTCTACCTAGATCTGATAAAAAAAATGGGATCATTTCTTATGGACTCGTTGAGAACAATTCTGATCTATTTCATGGCCTATTAGAAGTAGAGGCACTCTGGTGGGATCTTTATGGACAAAAAAGATTCCAGTAGTTTGATAATGATCGAGTGACATTGCTTCTTCAACCCAACCAAGGAATCCCTTAAATATAATTCAAAAAATATCTTGTTCTATCGTTGATCAGAGATTTTCCTATGAAAAATATGAATTAGAGTTTGAAGAAGGGGAACAAGCCCTCAACCTGCGACAAATAGAGGAGGATTTATTCAATCACATAGTTTAGGCTCCTAGAATATGGCGCCCTTGGTGCTTTCTATTTAATTGTCCCAAAAAGCCCAATAAATTGGGATCTCCTTATTGGGACAAGTCATTTCAGGGCAAGCGAATCCTTTATGATGAAGAGTATGAGCTTTAAGAGAATGATTTGGAGTTTTTGCATAGAACCATGCAGTACTAAACATGAGATAGATCTTTCAAAGAACAAGGCTTTTTTCAAATAAGCTAGTTCATTTGAGACCTTGAGGATCTACTCTTTTTCTATTCAAAGATTAGCGTTTTGTCTCTGTATTTTCTCATCTTGAATTTTTTAGTAGATAAAGAGATATAAAGGGGACTTCTTTTACTTCCCAAATGGATCGTTTTACATTTATGTCTAAACACTAGTTTATCATGAATATGCAAGAAAGCATTTTGAGTTGTTGATTCAACGCAAGAAAAGCTTGAATAATATATTTAGATATAGGGCCAAGATATAAAATACCCTTAAAATTGCTAAATATACAACATGAGTGAATTTCAAAATCTCAATCCAAATCTCTTGTCTCTATTTTGAAATTTTCAAATCTTACCAAATTACACAAATGCCGTTCACTATTTTTTTTCTTTTTTTTTTATTTGGCCATTTTAGTTAGCATCCTTAGCTAGTTTTCGGCCACTGGAGCTTCGACGTCAGTGACCTGCCATTTGTCAGCCGTCGAAACTCTTGTGACCAATCGTTAAAGCTCTGGTGACTAATCTTTCTTATGCATTGACTATATTTTTTTTAGAATTTCGATAACTACTCTTATTTATCTATTGACTACTCTAGTATTGCGATTGACTATTTTCATTTTTAAAATTTGTTGACTACTCCTGTTTAGCTATTGATTACTCTAGTTTCACTATTAACTACTACTTTGTTTCAAAACTTCAAAAAAAACGTATTAAGTGTTATTAGATATCGAGTGACTACTTTTTGTTTAGTTATTTATGAAGGGAATTGAAAGACGACGCGCAGCGGAAAAACAACTCGAAATTTTAAAAACTTTCAACCCCTTCCCGATCTACCGATCGCGTTTAAGTCAGGTAGTAAGAAACATTACCTTCGGTGTTCGATTTCCTGTGACTCGATGATTCGGCCGTTCAGGATGCTTCTTCTGCTCGCCTCCTTTGTCGTTCAAAGTCGACAACTCCGGTCGTTTTCCTCTACCGTATCCACACGAGATAGCCCTCAACCTCGAACGGCGTGCTAGCGCCTATGTCCGTCTAGGGTTTTCGAAATCCGTCCTCTCTCCTCTCTTAGGCCGTCTCTTATCTGTCAGTTCTCTCTCTCTTAAACCCTAGCTCCTCATATCAAATATATAGGATGCTATATAGGTTTAGTTAATAATATTTAATTTCGAAATTAACTCTAAATTAATTCCGAATTAATACAATATCAAATATTGCCTAATCAGATAAGAGAACAATTAAATATATGGTTTAAATTAAATCCGTCTCACAGATTTATTCACTTATTTATTTAATAGAGATGACGGAAGAATTTATATATTTAATTTATCCTTATAAATTAATATCTCTTATATTTAATATATATCGAATTTATATATATATATATATATACACGTCCACCCTATTTATTCATTGAATCTGGACATATCTTAGATTCAATGAATCTGGACATCATAACTCGTGTTGGGCTATTTTGTGTGCGACCCTGTAGGCCCATATGAAGTTGGCAGTGGCCATTAACTATAATGACTCACAAGTCGTAAGCGGTCTCTAGCAAGACATCACGACTACCCAAACATATGAGAATCATTGACGATGCAACCTTTCATACAACCATATCACGTCCCTTTTGTCACACACGACATTTTGTCATGGATGAGGCATGGAGAACGTCATCCTCCTATTCATGGCCGTTACTTTCTCGATCCCTGAGTAGTCTGAGTATAGAAACGGACTACCTTTCCGTTATAGTATGGCCATACATTTCTCAGACTCACTCATCGAAGGGCCCAGTAATGTCTCTCTACGAATGTGAGGGACAAATTCCATCTTGACCATTCACATTCCTCCGCATGAAAAACCACTAAGCCTGAACATAGTCTTTATGATCACTCGGTCAAAAGTGACTTTTTGACTAGGTCAAAGCTAAGCGTTTCTCATGTAGGAATCCATGATGATCTCAGGTCAAAGGGCATAGTGACGTGGTTTTTATATGAGAGAAGCTTATGACTTAACCCTGCAGCTCTCTCATAGCGGGTCGGTCCAAACACCTTGTACTCTTACATGTGCCTATGACTTTAATTTATATCTCTATATATCTTTAAAGTCATACTGTCTTATTCATCTTTGCTCCCACATAGATGACCGACCAGGGACATTTAGGATAAACCATGAGTTATCCAAGGATATCTCACAGTAAACATGCAATAATATGATAACTTAATTAATAAATTCATAAATTAACAATGTTCAAAACAGAATGATTGGCCCCTAAGGCACAATTTCCAACAATTTACTACTCTTGTGTAATCAATAGTTATACAAAAGTAGTCAACAAAACTTTGAAAATAAAAATAGTTAATAGTTAAATTAGAGTAGTCAATAGCTATATAAAAGTAGCCATCAGGAGTAAGGGCAATGCTGTCATTTTACAACATTTCAAAATTTCAAAGTAGTACAAAGGGTTTGATTTGAAATTTTGAAATTTACCCACCCTAATTTGTCCTTTAGTATGTCTTAAGGTATTTTAGTGTCTTTTTTCCTTAGACCTATTACATAGTATATTTGTTTTTCTTACTGTGAAATTTATTTTGATTTTAAACTGATTGTATAATTTTTAAAAAATTATTGATAAATTTTATAATAAGTTTTCAGTTCTTATTATTTTTGTTTTTAAAGAATAAATTAATAAAAAAATAAATATTAAATTACGTTACTCATGTTATATTTTGAAATGGTATCACAAAATTATTTAGTTATATTTTGAAATGGTATCACAAAATTATTTAGTATCATATAAATATATTTAAATATATTTTTTAGGCACAAAGCTAACTTACAGGGTTGTTACTGACTTTTTTTTTTTTTGATAGTGAACGCATGTCTAATGTGCGAGGAGGTTTAAAAAAGTGTTTCGAGAGATTGCCTCTGGAGTCTAGGTGAGAACAGTTTTTAGTTCGTTGTTGTAGTACAAATGGGAACATACCTAATGGCTTGAATCTCACAACTAGAAAGCCAAGCTCGGTAAGAGGTACCATCCATTTCCCATCACATATCAGATCTGAAACTCTGCAATTTTCCGGAGCTGCCAAACTTGCTTATGCTATTTCTCACTCTGATGATTATCTTCGAGAAGTTTTCACCCTTTCAATAAGGAGAATCATTGAGTGAGGTGTTCTTTTGAAACCCATAAACCATAGCCACAAGAAAAGAAATTACGTTTAAGGGATTGAAAAAGAAACATCAACAACAAAAGACCAAAAAGAAAATCACATTCCATTGCCATGACATAACTTGCACAATATAGAAACATGACTTGATAGTATCAGATAGATCCGGAGTTCATGCCAAGGTATTCTTTCTTTGTTTTTCTTTTTTTGCTTTTTTTCCCTTCATACAAAATGAATGTTTCTCCTCATGAATGAGTAACTCAACAAAAGCCTATACTTGGATCCTAAACAAAAAATAACTCAACAGCGGAGACCACACCTACACCCTAACTCAAAAAAAAAACTCGTCATTCCCTCGAAATCTTGCTATATACATGTAAAATTCTTGCGGATGCAAATGCAAATTCTTATCCCTTACATGAAAAAAAAATGCAAATCCTTAGTTTCAAAAACTCTAGAAGCTAATTGTCTCTTCTTCAAGCTCCTCCATTAGGAACTGAACTACCTGTCTAACAATATCTTCGATATCATAACGTAATTCTATCCAACTGTTTCCCTCTACATGCATCTTATCTGCTGAATCCTTCTTAGCTTCCTTTTCTTGTGCAACGAGCAATTCCCACAGCTGTTCCTCCATCATGTCATAGCTTGGCTCAGCATTCAACCATCTCGATACCGGCTTTTCCCATGCTGGAATACACATACATGGCTGGAGAATCTCCAATAGTGATAGATTAATACGATCAAAGAGAAGCATCCTGTCTGATCTCTTCCAATATGACTGCTTGCCAAACTTCATTTCAAGGTTTTCAAATATAGAACGGCTAATAGGGCATTGTAGAGAGTGCCATGTACAGAAATCTGTGTAGAGGTTTGTATTAGAGAGGCCCGCCTCAGTCAAGACCTCCACAACATACGAAAACTCCCTACTTTCTTCGGCTCTCAAAAATCCTACAAAATCTTGCTTCTCTTCCAAGTCTCCCGCAGATCTTTCCAAACAATCTTCATCACTGGAAACACTGAAACCTAGTCCTTCGTTGTCCATTTCTGGGGAATCTGGTTTCAAAAATAATGATGCATTTGTTGTAATTATACTAAAATATTAAAAGCTAAAATAGCATGTGTAGGAAAATCCTTTTTTGGTCCCTGACAGATCGATAGGCCTTCACTTCGAGTCTTCTACGTATCACCAAGCTCACTTTTACTTACAATTTGCTTGCTTGTATGACATCATCTTGTACTTGGGCATTAATAGGCATACAACCGGAACAGATACATGCATGACATTTATTTATTAAATAATCAATACAATAATCACCCTAATATGAGTACATGAAAATGTAGCATCCTAGGGACATTGATCTAGAATTTCTAAAAGACACAGCCCTGGAAATTTCAAAAGAAGCCATGAAACTGGAATTTTAAATTATTCTTTCCGATATTGGTGTAACCAAAATGGAAGTGTAACGATCTGTCAGGGACCAAAATGATTTTCAAGGTTGCTAGCGATTTATATAATTATTAATGCTTGTCATCACCAAATGTCTGTTTTTTTTTTTTAAATGCTTGTTATATACCATATAAATCATCACCAGCAAACTTCAAGCTGTCAGAACCAAATGAAACGTCTTCTCCAAATGGGGGCTCCAAAACTGAGATTGGACTAGGTTCATGTGCCTCATCAAAGCTACCAACAGAATCCGTCTTTACGTCAGAGCAAACTAAATAAACAGAATCATCTTCTTGGAGGAATTCTGATTCTTCCTGTAATTTTAAAATTGTGTGGTGGAGCAAAATGACATCAGTAAACCATACATAAACAGAGAATTTCGTGAATGTAACAGTAATCTCAAACTAATAATCCCGTTCAAAATGACTGCGGAGAATTCAAGATATTATTGCAGTGTTAAACAAATCTTATGGTCATTACATGAGAAGAATGACAACTTTGCATAACAGGAAGTAAAATCTTAAATCAAAGGCATTGCAACAACTAGGACTGTTCCATGTACATTCTTGAGTACATTCCTATCTACATTTTGGGACTTGTGATTAAACATCATTCAGATAAAATGCAAAAGATCAGAAGTATTCTGAAGCTTGATTAATTTCTTTATCCAAAAAAATAATTAAAAATTCCAAAAATAAAACAAAATCGCAATAAAATCTAGTTATGAACTTGCAAACGTACTTTTCATTAGCTATAAGTTTATGTGGCTCCTTAGTATATAGCATAATGTTCTTCATCATAATGAATCCATATTAGAAACGGGCAAAAACACGGAGAGAAAATTATAGCTTAACATATCAGACAAAATACACCTACAAAAAAAAATGATCATGTTGATGATGACAACGAAAACGACGATAATAATCATCAAATCTAAACATTGAGGGTAAAATAAACAAACTCACTGATGTATCATCAGAACTGAAGCTATTATTCACTTTACCGCCCAGATTTAGTTAAGTCAGGGGACTTAGAGCAAAATTTTCTTCAGTACAGATAATAATATTCTCTGCATATCAAATGAAATGCAAAAGAGGAACAAAACGAGAAAAATAAAACCACATCTGTTTTTTCAACAAAAAAAATATAAAACCACATTTATTTTCTCTCTACCAGATTATTACAATAAGTATTGTTGTACAAACGTGACTCTGTTCTCTCAGTTTGGCTCGGCTATATGTGGATTGCCACCCAGTAAACTTGACACTAACATTGCACATTTTTATCTTTTATAATGAGAGTCTTGTCCTCAATTTATGTGTCTTTCATTATATCTAATTTTTGTTTTTCCATCTTTATAGGACTGCAAAGAATATCCCTTGAGAGTTGCCAACGCTGCCAAGGTTGAACAGATGAAACTCGATTTTCTGACACCTCCAGAACACCCTCATACTCAAGGTCGAAGTTTATTAAATAATATAACTTTCAAGACACATAACTCTCATGATCTGAATTCCTCAAACCAATTCTATTGTACTATCCTACAATTTGCTTATCCGCAGAGGATCCAATTAAACACAAACTAGCCCCAGAACAGTAAATCTAATTCAACATAATTTTTGTGGATCATTCAAGTGTGTTTACATAAAAAGATGCAAATTCTGATCCTAATTTGATTTGACGATACAATCATATCAGCAAAAACACCACAGTCCTTCCTGTACCTAACTCTACCATTAAAATTCTAAACTGACCAATTGAGTTGCAAAAAACAAAAAAGTTTGAAACAAGAAATAAACTTAATAATTCTGATTAAAATTGATTACCCGTTGAATTGAAGCATATGAAGTGTGACTAGAAGAATCACTATCCTCCAACAAAATGCAAGCTCTTGTTTCAGACACCTGAATTCTTGGATTTCCAAGGGGCCTTCCAACGGCATCAGTCCTTTCATCAGCCACTTGACCATAAACTGATGAATTATGAGATGCAACATTTTCCTTAGAAATATTGTCATGTATAAGCCTACTCGCTTCATCTTTGATTATGGATGCCTGATGTATGATCTGACTGTCACTGTAAGAAAAAGAAGGCTGAGATGGTGACATTTCGGGAAGTTTTGGTTTCTGCTCTGACAAGTTAACCCCAAAGAATTTTTTCTTCAACTTATGCAGTCTAACAAGACTCTCTTCTTTACAGTTACTATTGAAACTATAAGAAAGAAGAGACTTGGATTTCTCAGGATAAGACCAATGGGTCGTATGTATTGAAAAATCTTTCACGTTGGTATTTTGCTTCTTTGACTCCTGCAGTGAAGAATTCAGGCATGCATCCTTGCTCAAACCCCAATATTTATGAACTATATCCTTAGTCTCAGTCCTTGGATCATCGTAACTGACAGGTTTCAGAATTTCAGAACTTCTAAGACAAGTTTCATTCTTTCTGAAAAATGAATCTGAACTCATATCTATAACTCTGCTTGAAGCATCTCCTGTTTGACTAGAAACTTCATCTGAAATTTTGCTAAAAGCTGTGGGGCTCTGGTCAATAGATTCCACGTGATCAGATAATTTCTTTCTTTTTTTGATTCCAGGAAACGATTTTGAACTTTCATGACTAGAAAATTTCTTGAGCATCCCATTAACCAAAGGATAATATCCAGAAGAAGGTAAGGAGAAGCATTTTAAACTGCTCTCTCCCTTTCCGTCACTGGGTTTCAAAACAACGATCCTTGAAGGGAAAATTCGACCCTTTGATTCAAGTTGAGATCTGGAAAACTTTAACATTTCATACAATCTTGTTTCTCTATTCACATTTCTTTGCAGGTCGCTATCAATTTCATCAAGCATTTGCAGATTTCCATTTTCAGAAGTCCTCCCTGCATGCTTCACACTTTTTTCAATATCAAAGGCACCGACGGGATAAATCAGCGTCTCACCCTTGAAAAGCTGCTGTTCCAAACCAATAATCCTTGGTTCAAACAAATGCAGGCTTTCCTTTCTGTTTTCTGACGACAACTCATGGCTCTCGTCTCTCTTTATTGACTTGAATGCTCTTAAAACTTCTCCACATTCTTCGTTTTCATCACTGCTCATTCTCGAGGAATTATTCTGATGAGGCAAACGTTTCCTTCTGAAACCAATAGAAGCAACTTTTTGCAGATACTTCTCAGAGAGCACTCTTTGTTTTTCTTTGACATGAAGCTGGGAAGGCTCTTTATCAAGACCCATCAATTGGGCCATCACACTCGGTGTTTTTTGTCTCGATTCCATTTTTGTTATAATTAAAATTAGGCTTAAACAACGGAACTCGAGCACTTTCGAGAACAGAAATGAATTAGCCTACACCAAATAACAGAGATCATTTAAAAAGGAAAGGGTGGTCCATAATTCCAGATAACCCCAACATGATAATCCATTTAATCCATTCATTCCACAAAGTAAAGAAGCAATCAGACTAGTGATCCCAACCCAATGAAAGAAATAAGAGCCAACCTGTGTTACATCTCCTGGGTTACCCCAAGGGGATTAACTGATTGTGGATGTTGAATCTCCGGCCGCCGAAGCTCCAACACCTTCAGCTTTTCTGGAATGATTTCCATGATGTTTTAGTCAAGGTATCAAATGACCATGAAAGAAAAGTAAGAAAAAGCATATCTACAACAAAATAAAGGAAGAAAGGAAGAGAAAAAAGTAAGAAAGAAAAATCAATTTCAACCAAGAAAAATCTTAGATGGGAAACATCAATAACTGGACCATATCATTTAAGCGGTTCAACTACTTACATATTAAATACGAACAATCCCCCACCAGCGATATAAGGCTTCCATAGATTCGAGTGGACAGAAATTAGGATTTGGGCTTTCCCAGTGAAAATCTGAAAAACAAAAGAAAAAAGCATAAAAGCTTGAACAAAGCTTGAACACGTCGATAAACAGAAAAAACTAAATCATTTGATCAACTTCAACTGCGCATCATTATTAACAGACAGCCATGAAACTTGTGTAAAGTGATTAGGTGAAGGAAGCAGGATATGATTATCACAAAGGACAATCATGAAGAAAAAATTCCAGCACATTTCCATGATCCCACAAACAGGAAACAACAGTACGCTTAGAATTTATCACAATAACAGACAATATCATTCTCACCCCACTAGAAACAAGACTCGCTTTGTCAGAAGCACACGCAAAACAAAATCATTGACTTTCTAAATTGAACCTAAAAAAAATCCACAAGAACGAAAGAAAGAAACCATCAAGAAGAGGAAAGAAAATGGAGCCCAGAAATTATAAGCCAAAAGAAACTAGGAAGGAGAACAAAAAATACAAGACCTTTATCTGACAAGTCTCTGCAACACTATGCCTTTTTTGGCTTACTCTGAGTTTAAATAATCCTATATCTCTATCTCATGCAAACGCCGCCAGTAAGAATCGCTTCCTTCCCAAAGAAACCTACTGGGCTGGGGAAACAATATATTATTGTATACTATATATCAGAGGATCAGATTGAAGCCAATAATGAAAAAGACACAGCCGGCGACCAATTGGGCAGAAAATTACAGCGAAACTCTTAGGTCAAAATGGCAAGCGGAATTTCCCAGCAAATCTGAGTAATAAACAAGGATATAATTTTATTTTTATTTTGTTACGTTGTCACGTTGTGGATCTACGCGCCAATGATGATTGTTCTGTTTGCGTGTTTGGCGCCGGAATGATATATTCGATTAATTGTTCGGAATTTGTTAACGCCACCCCTGGCTATTGCTCAGTCCGTTCCAAGGCTCCAAGAATATAAAATTGCCTATAATTTTTTTTTTTCCATCTCCTTTTCTTCTGTCTTTCATTCTTCTTTCTTTAATGTAAATCCTATTTTGAAGGAAGGTAGTTTGTATCACAATGAGAATTAGTCGAATTTTTATTCAATCAACAATCTTGAAACTAAAATGTGTGAGCATTATTAGTAGTCGTGGTTGGGTTTAAAAAAAAACACACACACACATTGACTAAATATTAAGTAAAAGTAACCCAATTACCTTTAAAAAAATTGACGATTCAAATATTTTTGTGGATAAAAACATCATAGTGTTTTTCCAAAAAAAAATTAAAAAGAATAAAATCATATTGTATCGAATTTTTTTTGCCGGACATATTGTATTAAATTTGGTCCAAATAATGCTAAATATTATAAATAGTTGAATAAAAATGTGAGCATTATTTATTAATTAATAATTTTACATTAAATTTTTCATTTTAAAGATAAGGACATCGTTTTCATCATTTATTTATATTTTAACTCATTTTAATTTGAATTATTATTATTTGGGTTGACAATTAAATATTAATTTAATTTAATATTCTCTTTCTTACAAATAAAATGCATCTCAAAGTTATAAAATTCCTTGTCAGCTCTCTGTAAAATACTCGTTGGGACGAGGGCTTCCAAATACATCGTAAATTAAACCCGTGCTAACAAATAACCAACCCACAATGAATAGAGAGGGTATAGTAATGCTATGAATAACCCAGCATCGAATACTGGTAATAATATAGTAAAAGAACGTTCTTCTGTGCTTCCAGACATGTCGAGCTCCACATATTCTTGTACAGTCAAAGGGGGGATCGATTCCATAAAAGATGAGATTAGTTGAATTTCACCACCTTAGGACTGTTATAGTTACAGCTGCCATTCACTGGGGCATCGGTCGCTGGCTCCCCTATCATCAGGTCACCAACTTCCTTGACCTTCCGGCATTAGGAAGGCAACAATGAGGAATTTTCTGCAATGGGCAAAAGCTTGACAGAGCAATGCCGCATGGAGGTAGAAGGCCTACAGGTCGTTAACTTTTTTCCTAGAGAAGGAATGACAGTATCTGGGGAATAAGTATCGACTAACTCTATGCGAGTAGCCGCGGTAAGATAGAGGATGCAAATGTTATCCGGAATGATTGGGTGTAAAGCATCTGTAGGTGGCTTTTTAATTTTGCCATCAAATCCCAGGGCTCAAACCTAGACTAGACCGGTGGAAACTACCAAGCTGGAGTACAGTAAGGGTAGAGGGAATTTTCGGTGGAGCAGTGAAATGTATAGAGATTGAAAAGAACACCAACGGTGAAAGCACTTCTATTTTTTAATATTTATATGACAAATAAAAGATGTGAATCTATTCCAAGTTGAAGAAAGAATTGAATAGGAATTGATCAAATCATTCACTCCATGATAGTCTGATAGATCTTTTGAAAAATAGATTAACCAAACGAGAATAAAGATAGAGTCCCATTCTACATGTCAATACTGGCAATAATGAAATTTTCCGTGAACAGCCAACCATCATACTATAAAAATAGGATAGGTTCTATCTATGGTCATTGGGGCCTCCTAAAAAGATCTACTAAATTCATCGAGTTGTTCCAAATGATCAAAACGGCCAGTTATTAATGGAATTCCTTGTCGGCTCTCTGTAAAATACTCGTTAGGACAAGGGCTTCCAAATACATCGTAAGCTAAACCCGTGCTGACAAATAACCAACCCGTAATGAATAGGGAGCGTATAGTTGAAACACCCTATCTTTAACCCCTCAGAGCACACATTCGTAAGTGTTATGGTTCAAGTAGATCATGACACAAGCCTATGGATTTAAAATTTCAACATAATTACTTAGGTTACTATTTACTGTTTAAGTTTTAGATTACAGGTCTAAATTCAAAAATTCATAACTAATTCCATAAAAATCGTATTGAGGTCTTCTAAAATTTTATGAAAAGCTATTTTGATTCTCTTTAAGGAAAAAATATCCAATTGGACTTATCCTTGTTTAATTTGTACAGTTTAATCAATAAATATTACTGTTTATTTCGTAAAACCTGAAACTTTTAGATTCTATGCCTCAACTTTGAAAATGCATATCTCCTTATGTACACATCCAATTGAGATGATTTACCTCTCATTTTAAATCTTGAGATGTGTACTATTAGTCTGCCAAATCTTGTGACTTAACTCATTCGTTTGATAGGCCAAACTGGAGCTACAAACTCATTGCTCTAGGACCTACGTTTTATCTCTTAACATCTTTTTACTTTAATTCTTTTTATTTCTTTGGCATACATAACATGGGCTTACTCTTTCCCATTCATGCTCATACACTTTCATTTATGCCATAAATATTATAATTAATTACATGGCATCATAGGCATACATAACATAAATTACATAATAGGAGAATTACACATTGAATTATAATATCATTCATTAACATGAACAAGTCTCCACTTTCTTCTCCTTGCTTCTCATGCCATTATTGCCCATTGATGATTGACCTAAATGGTTGGTTAGGGAGGGGTGAGATTCGGGAGAATCTCAGTAGCAAACAATGCCATATTAATCATGTTAGATGAATGCTAATGCACTACACGTAACTTGTTTAATCTCTTGTTAATTAGTGACATATTAGCATGCTCAAAGCTAACTTCTTGATGCATGGCCATGGAGACATAATCTACTCATCATGAAGAGCAATTACAGTAGCTAAAACATGTCACAATAACATTCAAATAACATGTACACAGCAACACACAAGCATACAACATCAAACAATGACAATAGGTAAAGTTCACTACTTTGCACCTCAAGCTTTCCTTTTGCTTTTCCTTTAACTCCTTTGACTTTCCAACCATGTGGGCATTCGGTTAACATCACCAAAAATCCTCTTGGATGTTCTAAGGTCCTAAACATAGTCATAATGATCACACAATCTATTAGGACCACTAGATTACATAAAGTTCAAGACTAGCTTTCTTGAACCTCAACCCTTTCTCTTGGTCTAATATAAATCTCATCATTTCCCATCCTTAAAATCCATTTCTTGTCAATTAGAACCACTTGAGATGGCCTTAGATTCAAGAAGATCAAATCTGAAAATTTTGCTTCACGGGTACTGTTCACGCAGAAATTCCAGATTTTTTGCTCAACTTTGAAAATTCATAATTAATTCTAAAAAAATCAAAACTAAGTGGTTTTAAGTCTTACTGAAAGCTCCTTAAGTTCTCTTTAAAAGAAAAATAGTTTCAGGAACCAATTCTATGCTGAACAGTACCAGAATTCGACACTCTTCCAAAGGTTAAACATTGTTTCTAGATTTCCAACCCTAACTTTGAAAAATCACCATAAATCGTACACATATCCAAATGAAGTGTTCTACCCATGAATTAAAGCTTATAGAGTGTACTTTGATCATGCCAAATTTTAGAATCAGATATAAAGGGTAACTTAGTCGAAATAGGCATCAAGTCAGATGCTATAACCATCACATACTTTGATCTTGAAGCTTGAATCTTGTTCCTTCTTCTTGGCCTTCACCCCTACGTTTTTCTCTCTAAATTTTGGCAGAGTTTCCCCTCTTAAACTCATGTTGACAAAAAATATAAGGGGAGGAGGCTCTATTTACATCCAAAAATTTGGCTTGAATGGACTAAAATGCCATTGGTGGCTAATAGAAAGAGTAAGGGCAATCTTAGAACTTCAAGTTAACTTTTACATCATCATTGCATCATCTTCTTACATCATCCTTACCTCATTCTTCTAGAAGATGCCAAGTGTCACAAATGTGGTGGAGGAGAAGGGAGATTAGATCCTAGCCATTGGATCAAAACTTAATCCTTAAGTTTCCTTCGAATTTACTTGGCCCCCGTTTCTCCGACTTTCTTTATGACCTTCCAGAGTTCAGAAAATTATTCTGTCTACTTCATAAATTCTCTTTAATTATAGAGAGTATCTACGAATTTTATTAGGCTATAACACTTCCTTTAAGCCTTGCATAAAAATTCATTTACTAAAATACCTTTTTATCGGCATAATCAGCTTTTTAACTTATTAAAGCCACTCCATTAGCCTTTTGGTTACGGGACTAATTTTATAAACTAGTACAACCTTTCAACCATTTAACCACATTTTTGTGTACATTTTTTCGGTATCTTGCTATTTCAAATAATTACCTCAAACGGTATACTTTTTATCGGCCACAACCTCAAAAATTCCATTTAAGCTACCTCATGGGTATTTTTGTCTTTTCTCTTCACAGGAGAGCCTTAGAATATTATTTTCCATTTTCTTGGAATTCTCTGTATACTCTTCTATTTTTACCCCTATTGGTCATAACTTTCTGAATTTACGGTTTAGTCACTGCTTAGACTTTAGTAGCTTCATATAATCCTCTCTTTGAGGTTTCTAACTTAACATTTGGCCTGTATCTAGCCTCTTTTCTCTCTCTGAGCCTTCAAGACTTTACTAGAGCCTCTAACTTGATTATACTTGAGCCCCTGAAAACTTTTACTTTGCAGTTTAGTCCCTAAAACTACTTTGACTTCCTTTCTCATCTTTGGGACTTCTGCTAAAAAAAGGTCTAGTAGCCTATCCAATTCAGGCTATTTCTGGTACTTCTAGGCCCAAAAGTTGGGATGTTACAATAGTAATGCTATGAATAACCCAGTATTGAATACTAGTAATAATATCAGTAAAAGAACGTTCTCCTGTGCTTCCAGACATGTCGAGCTCCACATATTCTCGTACAGTCAAAGGGGGATCGATTCCATAAAAGATGAGATCAGTAAGTAGAAATTTACTTAA